AAAAGAGGAAGTTGTCTTAGTTTCTGTATTTGGTTAGGGAATTGTTTGAATAGATTCATATTTAAATATATACATTTTTAAAATCCATATATCATTTTATAATATAGATATTAAACTGAAACTTCAAATTAAATTTCTACTTGTCGTGGTCCATGTTCTCAGGTAAAAATTTCCAAAAATGTTTTTTGTCTCCATGCCCTTTTCCACAGACACTGATATCTTTTCTCCCTTTTTACAGACTTCTTATCAGCAGTTCACCAAGGTTATGCATGTATAAATATTAAATGATTATTTTCCAAAGTGAAAGGGCACTTTGTTTATAGATAAATGTTTTTTAAAACAATGTCTTAAGGGTTTGGGGGAACTTTGTACATATGTTATTTGTGTAAATGTAATTCTCAAGACTAAAAACCTATTTTCTTTGAAGAGCTGCAAGAGATGGAGTGGGCATTTTTGGTGTTTTCTTATCTCTTGAAGCTTGGTTTTCGATAAACAACTTTTATGTACTACTACGGTTATGAATTATTCCAGCCTATTGCTTGTCATGGCCTACTTCTAATTTCAAAGTTATAGATGAAGCATTTTCATCTAAAGTATTCAAAAATTTTCAAGTCACATATAGTTTACATTTTACAAGGCACATCTTTGGACATCAAAGTACAAAAATTTTCAAATGCAAAAATCTTAGTTACATTAGGAAAATGTTAGTTTGAAGAGGAACACATGATGAGTAGGCTAAAGAGCAACAGATAAACATTAATAAAGAAATAAAAGCATCTTCCTTGGTAGAACTTAATCCACTGGAACTGACAACAAATATCCAAATTCTTAATTCCCAACCATCTACAGTAAGAGAAATATTGTTTCTATTTCTTTATTTCTTTTGAATATTTTACTTTGGAGAGAGAAATGTACAGTGGCCCACTAATGCAGTCTTAAAATTGAGAAGGGAGACCAACGTCTCTACTTAGCAAACGAAACAAAAGATAGAAACTATTTATCAGTGCTATATTTTGGTCAGTTGAGGGAGGAAAAATGGGGTAAAGAAAGAAAGAGGGACAAATAAAGAAGAAAAAATACAGGTGGAAGGTAAGAAAAAGGCACAAATGGAGAGAGATAAGAAAAAGATGTATGGAGAGACACAGTCAGAGATGGAGATGACATAACTACAGTAAAGAAATAAAAAGTACAGTAAATAACAATAAAATATTACAAACATATTTATTCATCAGCTACTGTTTATAAAGGGGCAGCTTGGTGGTGCAATGGATAGAACCTGGTGCCTAGAATCAGGAAGACCTGAGTTCAAATCCTCCCTCAGACACATACTAACTGTGTGACCCTGGACATTTAACCCTGTTTGCCTCAGTTTCTTCATCTATAAAATGAGCTGGAGAAGGAAATGGTGAACCACTCCATTATCTTTGCCAAGAGAACTCCAAATGGGGTCACAAAGAGTTGGATACAACTGAACAACAACAACAACAACGAGGATAAGTGAATTTCCCAAGGTCAAAGGATAAACCGCAGAGCTGGGATTTTAGTTTAAGATCTCTGACTCCTCTATTGTTCTTTCCATTATACCGTGATAGCTCTCAGATTTATTTATTTTTCCATTCATCACTCATTCAATAATCATTAAGTGCTCACTACAGATGAATTTGGGTTGTTTCCATTTCTTTAACACGAATTTCAGCTATTTAATTTGCTTGAGGTTATAGTATCTTCCTCTTACAAACAAGTATTATCATTTGAAATAATTCTTGGAAGAAGAGGGAGGCATTCCCTATTTGATTTTTATCCCTCCTACTCCCATCCCCACTTTGTTCTGACTGTCCAGCTCAAAGCAGAAAGAGAAAATCACATAATTGCTTAAGATTGAGCTCAATAGACACTACTTTGCTCTTTCCAAAACTGACCTCACCTAAGCTAAAAGTTCTCTGGTAACATAACACATACAAGTACACATAAAAAGACAATCCAGGTATTTTTACTGGCAAACTTACTAACCCAAGCAAGCATTCTTCCCTTGAGATCCATGCCAGCCAGGTTTTGAGACTTCCCTTCTGAATTAAAATCTTACTCTGTTGGGGTTTTGTTTTGTTTTCAGAGCTAGTTAAAACAGATGAAACTTGCTTTTAAAAACTTAAACCATTTAGATTTGTTTGGAGTTTATTTTGTTGTTTCAGTGAAGCTTCTCAACCTTAGGTTTATCTGCCTTTGGATGGTTGGAAAGATTGATTTGGATAGCAGTCAGTTTCTCCTTTTCATCTCTCAGTTGCACTTTTAGTTTACTAAATACATTCTGAATTTTATAGCTCTTGGTTAAGAAGTCAGTTTTATTTTTAGAAGATACTGCCTGCCAATCCTACTTGTCCAGAAAACTTAAAATTGTGAGAGAAAAATGAATTATGCAGATACTGCAGTTCTCCTAAGGGGAACTAGAACTTACTAAAAACATAAATATGAGGGTTTGGGAATTTACTTAAACACATATGTCCCCCTCACAAATGCATCAAGTAGGCAAAGGAGTACAACATAAGGACTCCCCAACTTTGCAGTCACATCATTTGTTTCCAGGAAGGCTCCACTGGGCCTGGGGTCAATCTTTAATTGATCAAAGATCAGAAATGAGAAACATACAAGGAGACATGGATTTTTCCCTTCACAGGTACTGTGGGAAGAAAAGGAGAGGGTATTCAGGGAATTGAAACAGAAGCGCCACTTCTGTCTGCTATCAGGCCCACCTATGGTGGACTTTCAAGTCAAAGTCCTCCTTGCCTAGCTCACAGGTTACTTTGCTAAAGAGAAGTTCAAATTGTGAGAGTTCCAGCTGGGGGGAAACTTTGGCCAATGGAAGACGCACTTCCTAGGTGAGAACGGCCAGACAAAAAAATCATAAATCAGTCACAGTGGGGAGATGCAACATACACCACTCTCTTTGAGTATAGACATCGCAGATTTATACAGACCAACCACCTCAGGATAGTTCAATGGGGTTGAATAAACAGATTTTTTCTTCTAGATTCCTTTTTTTTTTTTTTGGTGAGGCAATTTGGGGTTAAGTGACTTGCCCAGAATCACACAGCTAGCGAGTGTCACGTGTCTGAGGCCAGATTTGAACTTAAGTCCTCCTGACTCCAAGGCCAAAGCTCCATCCACTGTGCCACCTAGCTGCCCCTAGATTACCTTCTAGTAGTCTATATGAAAATAGGAAAAAAAAACCCTCTAGATTTTGATAGACCAGCTTTGTCCTCACCTTGCTCAGTACTCAATCTCTACCCATGGACATCTTCTGCCATGCTATCTGTATTCTACTCCTTTCCTCATCTTTTTAGTTCCCTTGTATGTGTTGTGTACACCATTACATCTTGTTTGCTTTTATTTATATTCCCCAACACTTAGTTCAGTTCCTGACACATGTAAGCACTTCATAAGAGCTTCCTCTCTCTCTCTCTCTCTCTCTCTCTTTCTCTCTGTTATTCCCTCTCTAGTACACAACTTGTGGACATTAGGAACTTTATTGAAGCAACTCAGAAGACGCAGACACACATGTAACCATGGGGAGATTTCTTTAAGAGAGTAACCCTACTTCTCCTTTAAGGGAGAAATCTTATGTAACACCCTATTATAATACTTAGATTGTTTTAAGTTCAGGGGCAATATACCAGCCCCTTAGGGCCTTCCTTTTGGCTTTTGGAAATTTATTTTAGATAAATTTTGAGTTGAATCACAACTACTCTAAGCTGCCAACAATGTTAGGAAAATTCCTAACACTAAGGTAGAGGTTGGGATCTCTGCCTAAATTTACATTTACATCTATCTCTAGTTAACCACTGACCTCTTTGTGGTTGAAGCAAAATTCAGTTTCCTGGCAATGGTAATGAAATAGCAGGTTATGTTATGATGTCTGTGAAGAGATAGGCATTGGGAGGAGTTGCAAAAAAAGAAGACCTTTTTCTCTTTGGAACTTCCCTCAGAATGAGTCTTCTGCTCCGAGGTTCCCGTACAGCCAATGACCCTCCTTGACATCTTTCTTCTCTGACACAGCTCTCTTCTACCTTTTCTGGAATACTTCCTCCTTCCTGGCTCACTACTCATGGAGCTTCCCTATTCCAGCAAACTCAATGCCTTTATACAGGATTCAGAGGGTATGACGAAATCTCTCAGAATATTGGAACAGGCCTCCTGTCTGGTATTATTTCATTTGACCAAATAGTGTCAAAATTTTTTCACACTTAGTCTAAGGATTCTGAATGATCAGGCATCTTATCACTTATTTAAGTAGGTTGGGGTTGAGTAAATCAACCTTATATATTCTTAGGAACAACAGTTAGTTTTTTATTAGCCGTAATACTCATTTCATCATGGATGAAAAAGCTATCATTATTGGTAAGAAATAGGATTATTTGTTTCATTAGTAAAGAAACAAGGACAGAAACAGGGATGGTTTAAAGGTACTAAGAAAGGAAAATATTACTCCTGGCTTTTTATAGAAGGGTGTCCAGTTTTCTAAGATAAAGTTACTTGGTATAGTGACATTAAAGGTTATAGAGGAACCCAGCTGTCCCACGTGGAAACTAGCAAATATATAAAAAGGAACTCAGATTGAGCTGAGAGTAATCAAACAGAAAGCTCTTCCATCCATTTCAGAACTACCTAAAAAGACTCTAGAAGTCAAAGGAGACAGAGAGGAAGGTCACACTAGGGAAGCCTGTGCAACTTTTAGTAAACTTGCCCAAAACTGGTAGAGTCTGGGACAAGTGCCACACTAGAGAAGCCACTACTCATTCCCATAAACAGTCCTGAAATCAATTGGTGCTCTGAAGTGGAACACATGCAAGTGAGAGCTCCAATAACTGGAGACCTAAAGACATATTCTGACACTGAACTTTCAAAACAGAAGGCAGGGAAGAGTCAGTCCCCATAAGTCAGAAGTTTTATCATACCTCTTTCAGAATGTGGTGAGTAAATGCATGAAGGTAAACTGAGGTACAGACTCTGAGCATAAACAGTTTATTAACAATGATGTACAAAGCAGGTCAGGTTGGCCATCTCAGTAAGGCCAGAAACCCAATGAGAAGGGGGGGGACCCTCTTTATTGACACACAGGAATGGAGGGTGGGTCTGGGAAATAATTGGTTATACTAGGAAAAGTAGATTGGCATTCAGGTATGGCTAATCACATGCCTCTCTGACAATTAAGGACTCATCTATTTCTTGTAATCTTGACTAAGAGATCAGTACCACCAGGTATGCTGTCACCTTGGGGGAGATCAAACCCCATCGCTAATTGTACAAGGACATGTAAGGACAAACAACATGTCTTTTGGAGGATGGCACCATTTTAATCTGGTTGGGGGTTACAGACAATAAGCAGATGTTCCTCTGGGGCTAATGGCATGAGTGATAACAACATTCTCTTTCATCCATACTTTTAAACTAACTTGGAGGGAAAACTGCATTCCTGAGCAAGATGAGCCAGGCAAATACTAACTCAATTATAAAAATCAATATAGCACAAAATCAATATAGTAGAAATCAGTAATATTAGTTTTGACCTTTTCAATTCCCCCTTTTGATTCACTGAGAAACACTTTCCTCAGTGAATCACTAGCTAATAGCCAATTATCAAATGACATCAAATTTATCCTTTCTTCTGACACACCAGGATACAAAAAGACCTGAAGGCACTAAACACTTCATTAAGAATTGTTAATTATGAGATGTAGGTGTTTTACCATGATGGGAATAGCATGAGAGGGGAGATAGAGAGAGAAAGATTGACAAATTGACACCATCCATTGGGGTCAGTCCTTTTCCACAAGTGGGCCTTGTGGACAGAGGCAGCAGACACATGGGAAAGGAACGAGAGGGAAGAGTGAACATTCAGTCTCTTTCCTAGTAACCCATTCTCAGTGTCCATGTCAGCAGCACATCACATCTTAGGGCTGAGATGTTTCATGCTGTCATCTGGTTTCTGGAAAAAAAAAAAATCTCCTCTTGATTCAGTCCTATGGTTTTTCCTGGGAATCTCTCCTCTTGGGCATGCTGGAATGGGCCTGTTCTCAGAGAAGCTCTGAAAGGAGCCATTTCTCTGATTCAGGTTACTTGTAGAGATTCTTAGATGTTTCTGCTAAAATCTTTTGCAAAACAGATATCCGTACAATTTATTGTAGCCACTTAAATTTTGTTTTTCCAATAACTAGGTCAGAGGTGAAAACCAGCTCAAACCTTATGGTTCTAATTCTATTGTCAACAGAGAACATCAAATTAGGAACCATTAGTTCAAATGAAACTTCAGAGAATTTTAGTTTTTACATTCCCTTTGCTGTTTCTATCTTTATCTAAACCCTATATCTGCCAACAGGCTAAACGAAGAATCTTAAAGAAAATCTATAAGGATCTGACTTGTAAAATGATCCATTCTGGTTAAAGATTTAATATTTACAAAAGTAGACATGCAAGATAAGGTTAAAAGGTTTTCTAAATTGGCATTAACTCCAATATCATTTAACTTCCTAGGCTAGTGTTCATTTATTTCATTCTTCACCTCAGATTCAAGCCCCACAAAGGGAAAACTTCAGTTTTATTGCCTATAACTGTCCTGTGATATAAGTTAACAAATTATTATGTTGATATACTTAAGAAATTCAAATAACAACTGAGAAATGAGACCTTAACATTTTAAAGTGCCTGGTTTATGCAGAGGATGAACAATACAATTGGCGCAGTTTGGTGATGAAGTAGATAGAGTGCCGTGCCTGGCTTCAGGAAGACCTGAGTTCAAATCCAGCCTCAGACATTTACTAGCTGTGTGACCCTGGGCAAGTCACTTTACCCTGTTTGCCTCAATTTACTCATCTATAAATGAGCTGGAGAAGGAAATGGCAAACCACTCTGCCAAGACAACCCCAAATGGGATCACAAAGAATTGCCCATGACTGAAAAATGACTAAACTCCTGAGCAATACAATCATATATAAAATCCTCATCCCAATTTTATAACTTATTCTTAGAACATGTTCAAGGTCTGTATATATCATTAGGATAATTTACATTTGATATATCTATCTGTCTATCTGTCTGTGAAATATGACCTTGTTGCTTTCTCAAAATTTTTTCACTCCAGGTAGCCTACTGTCTAATCAGTCATTTCCCCTTTAGGAGGATGAGATGCTGTTAAAGATCTAATCTGTACATGGTAACAACACTTTTTATAAGTAGATGACTTCTGTTCCTAGATTAAATGGCTACACAAATGAATTTACCTAAGAAATGCTTATTTTACTCCAATCGTAACAAAAAGACCTGGGACAAGACATGTAAATATGTTAAGTAATTAATTCTAAATTATATACAGAGAACAGTTTTCAAGTGAGTTTTCTATAGTAAAACTATATTCTATAATACTATAAAACTATTTTCTAAAATAAAACTATATCAGGAAGATAAGTCTTCTTGAATTCAAGGCCGTCACTCTATACCCTACACCACCTAGCTGCCCTGACACAAACATACCTGAAATCTCAAAAGAATTTTTAAAATTCAGTCCCCCCAAAATTTAATCTTAAATAGCAATGTTTCACTAATCATAGCTTAGGGCTGAATACAGTGATTATTACTCTCATATTGTACTCATAGTATAGTTACTAGTAATGAAAGTCTACCAGACTCAACATTCTTTATTTCTTTTACTACTTCTTTGCCAGTGTAAACTCAGCCTTGGTGTCAAAATCAATCATTAAAAACCAAGAAAATAATTACATTCTGGAAAATGACAAGCAGAGTAGTAAGCCCCTGAACAGGTGGATGGCTGGGTCAAAATGCCAGAATCCACCCCTTTCCTTTGTTAATAAAGTGAAAGTTTTACCATAGTCAGGAAGGCCAAATGTTGGTGTTCCAAGGGTCTTTTCAGTTCATGTGATAGTTGACTCCAAACCTCCAGAAGATTGTTGGGTGCTGTAAGCTTAAGGATTGCTAATAAGTTAAGATATGACTTTAATACGGCTAAATACATTTAGGTGAAACTTACTATTTTCAATATAAGCTAACTTGTAAATTTTCCATTTTAGCTGGGAGTGAAGCTAGCTCTTCAGACCCTAAAGGTTGGTGAGATTCCAGCTCCAGTATAATTTTTCAGGCTTAAAGAATCTTATACCTTATGACCAGCAGAGCTGTTAAGATCTTACAACCATGTCCAAATATCGTCTCAAGTGACAGAACAGGTAGAACAAGATAAGTCTTTGAAACTATTATTATAATCTTAATGAAACAAAATACACTCAATAAAATATTTAACAACTTTAAAACAACTCTTTAACAGCTGAATTTATAACCTAGTTAGGTTATAAATCCAAATTATAAGAGAAGTTGTTTTTCTAACAGTGTTGATGTCATCAAGTTTCACAATATAAATATGCATTTAAAACATGAAACAAACTTATTACTAGTCAGGTGACATCAATTTAGTGAACTACATTTACAAATTATTTTACATAGAAAATCATTCATTCTATCACAAGTGGCTTTTAAACTTACAATCCTTACAATTTTGAAAGGCACTAGTTGGGGCAGCTAGGTGGTGCAGTGGATAGAGCACTAGCCCTGAAGTCAGGAGGACCTGAGTTCAAATCCAGCCTCAGCCTGAACACTTGACACTTACTAGCTGTGTGACCCTGGGCAAGTCACTTAACCCCAATTGCCTAAAAAGAAAAAAAAGAAAAAAAGAAAGGCACTAGTTTCATTACAGAAAGGCACATTTCATTAAAGATACAGCCAACAAAAAAAGTAACATACACATAAGTAGGATCTGCTTATCCTTTTTGAATGAGAAACAGGGGACAGGGAGTGGTAATAAATTCTGACTAATTATAGTAATAGGAAGATATATCTCCCTATGAATGAAATCACATAAGACAAATGAATCTCCTATTAAAATTACTAGGAAATATGTACATAAGGCTCTTACAACTGTTATTGTTAAGTCAGCTCAAAGTATGCTGGGGTAAATATTATAAATCATTGTTAAAATTTCAATTCTAGGTGGAGGGCTGGTAGGTTAAGATTTTTGGCCTAGGCAATATGCTCTAAGGAGTCAGGTGTCACTCTGACAGGGTGTTAACCCCATTTCCTCAAATGGAAGTCCTGGAGAATTTTAACAGGGGTTATGACTACACCAAGGCATAGAGCCCAGAGAACATAAAGAGATCCAATACAGTGATTCTCAATTTGCATGATATAAGGACATGAGTATATTTATCAGCAAGTGGATGGGGAAACTATTTCATTCTCTTAACTCAATATAAATCTCTTCTTCTTCCCATAAATTAGCAAGGTTTACCCTGTAGTTTTCACTCTTAGAACAGGTACCTAGTT